TTACGTTCCGATTATCAGAATTTTGAAAAAAAGAATTCTGAGCTAAACTATCTGTTAATAATTCGAGTATCGATAACGCTTAGGCAAGTTTCTTTTTTTAAAACAAAAGTGTTATTGAGGCTTGATTGTGTTATTGAGGTTGAAGTGTTATTGAGGCTATTATTGATTATGCTTTAATAAATTCTGAATTTGGCTTTCTATTTCTTCCTGTTGCTTTAGTGATGTTTTATATGGTCTCTAACATATAGGTAAGACCAATGTTAACCTCTATTATTGTGGTTTTCTAACGTCGAATTTATGTTTACCAAAAATCATATTCTTCCTCATATTCTTCAAAATTCCGAGTAAATCAAAATCGTTATATTTTCTATTAATTCCGGTGTTTCGAGGATGTCATTCTGATAAATTGTATTTCTATTATACCTTTTTTCTAAGCATTCAAATACACTTTCTATTTGTTTTTAGTAGATATATATACATAGAAATTTGTATTTTAAAAATAATGTGTGCAATACCTTTTTAATATGTCAGGTACAGCTTAATTGCTGCGTACCAGCCTTCTTTTCCTTTCACTTTATTACATTTAAACCAACTGATAATTTAAAATAGTTTCTGATTGTGAAAATTGGGTTATATGCAATATACAGCATAGTTTATCTAATATATAGTTTTAAAATTAAATTTAAGTAAGAATCAAAAATTTTAATGTTGGCCCAGTTTTTTTTTTCAATTTGTTGTTTCCCACTCTGTTACCATAATTATTCTATTAAATTATTTCAGTTGAGTTGGTAACAGCTGCCAGGAGGGCCTATTTTTAAATAAGGTAGCCATTTTAAAATTTAATGTCATTATTTTTTCAGCACTCTAAAAGAAAAATGCTTTAACCATGTAGGCATTATCCAATATCTCCTCTGTTACCAGCATAATTGCTTTTAATTTATCTCATTCATTTGATTTTTTATGATAAGATCAAACTACGGTTTTTAGTCTAATATAAAATTTTCTTCTTTTTAATTGAACCTATCCAAGTAAATTGATTGGCAGTTTTTTCCCACCTCTCTTTCACTCTACTACCGTGAGCGTGGCAACTTCACGACTTCACGAACGTGGCAACTTCACGAATTTTTAATTTTGTATTTCCTTTAAAATTAATTTTATTGAAAGAAATGCAGATAGTTATCAATATTTGTATGACTGAAATCCATTATAAATTGCAATGCAAAATTATAATTTATGATCAAAAACATTAAAATGCAACAACATTTAAAATTCAAATCTACTGTCAGCCTCTGTTACCTTTTCCCACTCTACTTTATTAAGTTTTATTTCTCTACATATTTAACAAAAAGCAATTTTAATGATTTACAGTAAAATTTTGACCAGATAGAAAATTGTTTAATATTTCACGTAACTTTTTTTTTATTTAAATATTTTTGAACATTGGTGAAAAAGATGAACATAAATTAATGTTTCATTTTTTATTTAATGTTCCAAGTCAAAATGTGTCCTGAGGTTTTGAATTTTATAAACACGAAACATTGCAATCGTAGTCGAAATTTTTATTGGTAGAATTTTGAGCATTAAATTCTTTAAGGCAAATTTTTCGAAATGTGCCTCTCCATTTTGAAAATATCCTTTAAATTTTAGGTGGCTTTGCCAATCGCTTGGTTCGCTCTTCATTATTGCTTTAAGGTCAAAGNCTGTTGTAATTGATTTTGAAGCGAAAACTTCTTATATATCGCGTAAAATGAGCCATAATTAAGTTCCTATATTTTTAATTGAATTATAATGATTAAGACTACCAACACGATCCATTTCAAGTAAGTCAAATGGTTTATCAAATGGTTATGGCATTGATTGTAAAATCTTTTTCGTCTTGGTTTCTTGTTCATTTGACATGTGTGACAACGATTAATATATTTAGTTATATCAGAAGTAATGTTGTGCTAATAATATATAGGAGTTAATAAATTAATTGCTTTTAAACACCAGGATATTCAATTTTTCATACGCAATTTCGAACAAGTTTTACCATAATGAAAAAGTACTACCATTTTAGTAAGTCCTTTTTAACAAAGGCGTACTATACTATTCATTTCGACACATTTTCCAATTAAATTGTCATTTTTTTGAGCCTCAGTAACTTCATGTCATTGAAAAGGACTTGTCTTCCATCATTGTTCACATCTAGTTTTGAATCTGGCGTTTCGCCCGAAAGCATATCCGCTTCAATATTTGTACTACCTTTTGTATATTTTACTACATAAATATAATTACCAGCGAAATAATCGCCATTTATGATTTTTATCCTTTTTGAGCTGCTAAAACTGCATAGTCGGTATGTATATTTGCTCCTGAGAAGATAATGAGAAAATTTATTATCTACAATAGCTAGACATTCCAGCTTCAATAATTCTTTTCATAATCTTCCAAAGAGTGGGAGAGGAACGCTTCGAGATATAAAACACCAGATTCATCACATTGTTTCAAAATAGCAAATATACCACTAGTACTAGCATCAACAAAAATATGACCACCATCAGCAGGATAAAATAGTTTTAAAATTGGTTTACTGATCAAAGCTAAGATTGTTGACATTCAGCTGCCCACTTATAGTATCCTTTTTTTTAACAAATTATTTAGTAGAGCTCAGAAAAAACCATTGTTACAATTTTACTTCTTCTATAGGAGATTTTAATTTTTTGATAACTTCAATATTAGTATTATTTATTGTTACACTTCCATTAGTTATTTCATAACCCAGAGGGTAATTTTTTTTCTTGCAAAATGAAACATTTAGAAAATTTTCTTTCCTACAAATTTCAAAAACTTTTAGAAAAAACTCATAAACATTTCATAACTTTTAGAAAAAAATCGTTATGTCGTCAAAATAGTTTCAGCAAAATTAATTTTATGTTTTGTTAGAATTCCACAAATAGTTTTTGAAAAATGCTTAAGACATTCGTTAAGCCTGAGCATAAACGTAGCCATTCATACAACCCATTATGTGTAGCAGTCTTCTGGGTATATTTTTACATTCCGATTTTCAGAATTTTGAAAAAAAGAATTCTGAGCAAATCTATCTGTTAATAATTCGTATTGCAGTAAATCATTTTTCAAGAAAAACTTTAGGCTGCGTTAGAGAAAGAACATCAAAACATATGATATTTGCCAAGCGGATCCTTTCATCGGTCCACCTTTAAGATTTTCAACTCCGTGGTTTGTTCTAGACAAACTTACTCTTGCTCGTTACATTTTTAAAGGCTTTACTCACCAACATTCATTATTAATCAAGCTTTAAAAGAAAATTATTATTTGTACATATTCTGGAGATTTAACCTCTTCATGCTGGCGATCACCAACAACCGGAATGTTTTAGATCACTTAGTAGTCTGAGCTTTCTTAACTCTCTCATAATACTCCAACTTTTACAATGTTTGAAATTTTTCAGAAAAAAAAAAGATTCAGTTACAATTTATTTAATTGTTATTTAACCATATTCAATCAAAACGTGTAACATTTAGAGTAAATTCACGCTGTAACATTGAGAAATATCGTTTATTAACCTTTTTCACTAAATACGGTTAAACAACAAGAATTTTATCCGCACCCACTAGCCTCCATCGAATGATAATCGAGGGTACGATCTTCGAGAGCTGGAAGCACCTGATATGGAAGCGAAAGTCATATTTTTACAGCACCGATGCTAACCACAAGAGCGGTTGTTCAAGAATCTCATAGTTAAGTGTGTGGTGTTCCTTAAAGCCTGCACTTACTTTAGGCAAGAGGTCTAATCAGTCAATTTCATGATCGACTGGACGGGAATTCGAATCTCAGCTTTGACACCACACTATTACCTCCATTCATTCAATCGACACATGAGAAGTTACCAGTGTCCTGTCTTCCCAATGGGTGACCCTGGGCTATTGGAATACGAAACTCTCACTCACGCTTACGTTGCTGCTTAACACTTATAAGTCTAGCATTACTCATCCCCTACGATATGTGGCATGCCTAAATAAACAAGCCGCATTCCACGGTTCACTTGAGAAAACATAACTCAACCCTTATCTAACAACATTTTCAATTACCTAAATATAAGGTACAGCTTTAAGGCGTCCAAGCTTTGTGGCCCATTCACCAGATGACAAAAAATTCGACGTCACAAGAGCAACTCCGCCGCAGCACGAGACAATCAAACAAGTTGAAGATCCCCTCAGGCACAAGGTCCAGAGTGAAGCATGATGAGTAGCACCACAATCTCGTCCAAGAACTGAGGAGACCCGTCGAACATCAAGCAGCGGGCCCAAGACTCACTTGTTTTCGATTGGCGCTTCGCAGATCAAATTCTCCTCGAGGCGTTTCTCTTTTATATGCTTTTTAAATATAGCTTGGTTCTTGCCTAGAGTCCAATGCAATCATGAATTCACCTTTTGGGTCTTTTACCTTCAGTTCGATTTTCTCTTTTATCTCCTCAATGGTTTTTTTCTTTCCTTCGACTTCATCACAACATGCTGTTCCAAGGATCTATGAGCAATTTGGACGGTTTTTTGATCACTTCTGCGTATGACTCAGGCCGCTTCTTCTTTTTAAATTTAAAAGCAGACTATATGTTTTTTGCCGGAAGCAAAAAAAAAGTGGCAACCTGGTTTCCTTTTATCTGCCCTCATTGTGTGAGGACATGGTAGAGGCTCTCTCTTGTGATGACTCAATTTTTAATAATTTATGTTGTAGTTTTCTAAACAGTTGTATAATTGATATGCTTTATAAGCTTAATGCAAAATGAGTAATCCCAAACAAGTATAGATAATAATTTCCTCAATTTGACGAAATGCTAGTTCAGAGCATCTTTCAGGAAATCGTTTTGAAGAAAGTTTGGTGAATTTTGAGTATTTTATTTTACCTTTTTTTATGACAATGCATGCATTAGGCTTATGGTGATCCTGTTTAGTACGCTCTCACCACATATGCCTACTAATAGACACATTTTGATGTTCTAGAGTTCGCGAGCAGGTACTGTGAAGAAAATGGGGAGTGGAGGAGGCATCCCATACAGAATGCAGGAGGTTGGAGTAATTATACAGACTGTTTCACCAAAGAAATTAAACTCCTTCTGGACAAACTCTACTCTAGTTCACACAATGATGTCCTGGTAAGTATCCTGTATTCAACTTCTTGCAGATTCATCTCAAATTAGGTGATGCATGTGTTGGCAATAACTTGAATATATTTTTCAAAAGTTAAACGGCGTCTAAAATGGTGTGTCCTTGTCTAGGGCAGAATAACCATTCGAGGAGAAGCAGAGGTCCAACCAGATGACCGTTTTGAATGAACTTCTTTTAATGTTGATTCAATTTTTTTAAATGCTAACCTTTTGTTCATTGCATTTGATTTTTGCATGCTGCATCTGAGTGGTCCCTTCCCGAGACACGTGGTTTGTCATTTTATTTTAATGAAGGCAATTCTTAGGAGTAAGTAATCAATGAACACTAGGCATGCACAAAATTGAAAAAAGTATACCAACTCCATTGACAAAACAAAATAAAATTCTCATTTTTTTATTATTACAGTAAAACCTGTGTAAGTTGACCACTTGTGTTGCATTGTTTTAGTGGTCAACTTAGGCAAGTGGTCAACTTATAGAGGGGGTGCGTCATTGTTTACTTTTTCGTTTCCTATATCATGTTGCTATATATTTAATTTTCTTTTTACTTGACTTAAAAATTTTATTCAAAAAAAATAGCAAATGGATATCTTAAGAAATGTGTTTAAACCTGAATGAACTTCAATTTGATACATATAATTCTTATATTTAACTAATTTTTTTTAAAAAATTATTTCGTTAGTTATGCATGCAAAGTGTTTAATAAATATAATTTCGTAAAATATCAGAACACGAAAACATGTAATTTGAAAACCTTAACAAAACAAATTATTAGAACACTTTAAAATTTATTTGCTACACTAAAAGACCAAAGACCATAAATAAAGGATCAAAGCATATTTCAGAGCATTCGTTTATTCAAATGCTCACTATTGCAACTGGAAGAGCAACTTTTCAATTAACACGCCTGTTTTCAATGAACGGATGAAAGAAATGGTCAAAAGCTGACCCCTTACAGTTTCCCCTGATGGTCAACTCACGAAAGGGTTTAGATTAGCTTTTTACACTATATCACCAAACAAGTGAAATTTTAACATACATTGCCAAAATGACAGAAAATTTTCTGAATTTTTTTTTCTGGTCAACTTATGAGGGTTTTAGAATAGAATTTCATAATACTCCTAGACAAAATTGGCTTATTTCAGTGGTCAACATACAAGATAGACAGGTGGTCAAGTTACAAAGGTTTTGCTTTGTTATATTATATAGGAAAAATTCCGTTCTTGATAATTGAGGTCAACTTATGCAGGTGCCCAACTTACAAGGGTGGTCAACTTGGCAGGTTTCACTGTATTCATAGTCCTGTCACTTTACGTTATGAGATGAAGCAATAAAAGCTTTCATAATTTCTCCATTGGAAATGATGCTGCTGATAACAGACTACTAGTGGTAGTTAAACTTCACACTCATTAGCCACTATTACCCATTTATTTTGCACTTCAGTACATAACGTCATTTTTTTATTCCAATGATCGTTGATTTTACTGTATACAGAAAGTGCGTTACAAAACTTGAAGTTCCAGACAACTATCAAAATATCGATTTGTGTCAATAAACTTCAGGTGGTTTCAAATTAAAAAAGATCTGTAAACTAGCTAACACAACATACAAATAAATTTAATAAACAGAATCGTCTGCAGTTTGCATACAATTACCCTTAATTCTATGCATATAAGTAACACTCGTTCTCAAACGTCCAACCCGAGCAAATATTTCTGAACGATTATTGGGACTAAAATTGCTCCTATGTCCAAATTTCAGTACTGAAAACAAACAGTTCTGGACTCATATTTTGCTATTTTCTATACTGCGTATATAGACTTTCATGTGTACGTGTAAAATCTTGATTCTGCATGTGTTGTATTTAATGTGCTATTCAAAGTTTTTTTTTTTAGTTTTTCGTTATATTCTCTTAATCTATTTTTTTCATCCTCTTTCAAAATGCTCTTAGACTATTTCTAAATAAAATTCCTTTTTACATTTCACAAAAGAATTGGCAAAAGCTCCATTTTAGAGAATCTCGTTCAACTTCAGAGCCATCGGTGGACAAACTACTTAGAAAGGAAGTGATGCATTTCTTAGCGAAAACGTAGCGTCTTTTTATGAGATAGAATAAACAATTTCATTTTTGGAATTACTTCGTAAAACCTTAAGAAATAGACTTTTTCAGGTCGCCTTCCGAAGAAATATCTTTTTCATTTTTATCAATCAAACAACACACATATTTGAAGCTTTCTAATACTGAACAAATATATATTAGTTGTACCTTTTCTGAAGGGTTTCATATCTAAGAATAATAAACCTCTAATTAATTTTTTAACATGATCTTTAATATTACAGATAATATAGCACAAAATTGTCACCGTAGTTTCCTTTCTAATTAGAATTTTCAATTCTTTCTTCCTTTTTTTTCCAATTCAAAATAATTTTTTCTTCAAAATTAGTACAGATAAAAATTCGTCAAAGTCGAAACAGATTAAATTTTTCATTTTTTCCATTTATTACTAACTGCATATTTACTTCATTGTATCACCAGCAGCAAACATATCAAGCTTGCGACTACCCTTATTTAAACCATAACCCTGTAATTAGTATTGAACTCAAAAGGCAAGGAAATTGTTTTGCATTAAGTCAAACGTGGAGGCCTCAATTTATCCGCACTTCCGTTATTTATATATATATATATA